AGCAGAAACCGCCTCTTGTAGTGCTCCAGCAGCTTTACCTGGAGGAGAATGGTTGGCTAATCACCCTGGCACTGGAAGGGTTGGCACTAGAGCTGATCCCAGCACTGAGGCATGGATGGGAAGGCGAGCCTCACCCTTCGGACCGGGATAATATTTTTCTAATGGCTTGCAGTGGTTGGCTTTTGTTTTGCTGAGCTGTTGCTATGCACCTGAGGCTCCACAAGGGAAGTCGGCTCTCCAGAGGAAACAACACTGGCAAAAAGTCACCAAATCATTGTTCTGGCTGCTTTCTGTGTCATGAACAAACACATGAATCTGCACTTGTTTATCGGGAGGTACAAGGGCAGGATTTTGCCGGTTATCCGCAGAGGTGATTTGTCTATTGGACCTGGTAGTCTCAGTGGCAGCAGTTAGCCCCAGAAACAAAACCAGGAAGAGACTAAGTGTTCCCATACAACTTCCAGCACAATCAGCAGCCCTCCTCGAAAGCGCCTTTTAAACAAGAAGTGGGAGAGGGAAAAAACAATTAGCACCAGAGGCTTTAATAAAAAAAAAAAAGACAATTCTTCCATTAATCAGACCCTTATCAGCAGCAAAGGTGATAGAAAGCCAGTGTTTAATTGGAACTGAGAAAATGTGTTTGTGCTGGTGTGGAGAGCCTTGTCTATGTGAGCAGGAATGTGGCCTGCATCCTGTTTTCTTTACTGATGGGGAAGGAATCCGCTCCACAGTTCCTTGAAAGGCTGCAGCATGTTTTCCACCAGCTCCATGCTGGGTTTGTGAATTAGGTTCCTGCTTCTTTGCATCCTGGAGAGCAGCTTTGTGCTCAAAGGGATCCCAAAACACGGCTTTGTTTTGTAGGAACAGAGCTGCCATCCTTCCATCGGTAGCAGCAGGTGCCTCGGCTCCCAGCATCCGCCATTCCTTCATGCTCCATGCGATTCCGCTGTTGTCTGGGCAGCAAGACAAGTCCCAAAACAGTGAGGTTTAAGATCCCAGCGTTGGTTTACTCACTGCCCGCTGACCCTGTTATTCACCTGTGCCTTTGCAAAGGGCAAGACAGGCAAAATCGGGTTTGTAAAGGATGTGAGGGTCATAAAGAAAGCCCAGTGTGGGTCATGCTCCACCCTGGTAGAGGTGAGCAATTGCCTGGGGGGGCTGCTGAGTGCCCTCAGCTCACCGAGAGATCAAGAAAAGGCAGCATGCATGGGAGGATCCTCCAGTCCCTCTGCTCCTGTTATTCCTTTGAAGGGTACTTGATCATTGCCTTCTTCATGGGACAGTGCCCAAATTCTGACAGCTCCTCAGCTCCATCTCCAGCCCCAGGAAGGGTCTCTCTGATTTACCCAGATTCACTCTTTCCCCTCTCCCAGTGATGCTTTCTGCTTCATTATATCTACCTCTTTATAGCACAGCGCTCGTCTACCTCATCCCATGGTGCTGCGTTGGATGCTTCAGTAATCTTTCACCCTGTTTCAATACCGTGGCATTAAACATAAGGTTACTTTAACACCAGGATATGTAACATTGTAACATGTAATACATACATAAACATATGTATGAACATATGTTACATATATGATACATATGTAATATGTAATTTATAAACACCTTTTCTCTTCTTCCCAGCCCCAGCATCTCAAAAGGGAATCACAGCCATAGAATCATAGAATCATAGAATCATAGAATAGTTTGGGTTGGAAAAGACCATAAGATCATCCAGTTCCAACCCCCTGCCATGGGCAGGGACACCTCACACTAAACCATCTCACCCAAGGCTTCATCCAACCTGGCCTTGAACACTGCCAGGGATGGAGCATTCACAACCTCCCTGGGCAACCCATTCCAGTGCTTCACCACCCTCACAGGAAAGAATTTCCTCCTTATATCCAATCTAAACTTCCCCCGTTTCAGTTTTAACCCATTACCCCTATCACTACAGTCCCTAATGAAGAGTCCCTCCCCAGCATCCCTATAGGCCCCCTTCAGACACTGGAAGCTGCTCTGTGGTCTCCACGCAGCTTCTCTTCTCCAGGCTGAACAGCCCCAACCTTCTCAGCCTCATGTCTCCATTCTGATTTTTGTCAGTGCAGTGACTCCCAGGATGAGCAGCTCCAGCCCAAATTCAACAGCACAGAAACCCTAGTCAGCTTGGATGGAGATGTCACCTGCCCAAATCTCTTAGGACCTCTTGGAGCACTGGCCACACACATAAAGTTTGGCTTCCCTACACAGAGGTGGGAATGTCACCCAAAAGCAACTCTACCCAAGTGTGGCAAATTCACCCAGCATTGCAGCCCAGCATAATTAAGCAGCATTCTCATTCACGTCATCTCCTGGCTTTGGCATAGGTTTTATTACAGTCATTACAAAGACAGATATTACTTTTGGATTGACTCACTTGATGGGTTGATCAGCACTTTATTGTAGCCTCCAGTTATAGCACTTTTTATGGCATCCAGAAGAACTTAACCATTAGCACACTATTAGGAAGAGCACTGGCAGCTGATTAAGTTGCTGAAGGTCAAAGACATTTGTCTTAATTGCTCCATGTGTGCTCCCTCCTCCTCCTCCCCCCCCCCAAGGGAGCTGGAGGGAGATCATTCTGTTTCAATAATAAAGTCACAGAAGCATACCTTGGATTTGCCATCAAATCTCCAGGGAGAGGCTTATTCACCATTTCAGAGCTTGTCTAAACTGTTATGGCCTCGCTGCTGAAATGAAGTCTTGGAGGTTTTCATGGCATGGATTGAAACTGAAAAGAAAAACAAAAGCCATCAGGGTGACTTATTGAGTTGGTTAACACATATTGCAAATAATGTGCTATTAGGGTCATAATAGAGTGAACGCATGCATATGCTGAAGGCAGGTTTCTGTCTTTGGGAGGAAAGATGATTTTCTAACCTCTGGTACATTCCACCTGCAAAAGCTCGATAGCCCTGGTGGCCTCCCACATTTCAGTCTCAGCTGGATGTTCAGCTGCTCGTGCAGCTTCAGCTTTCAGCTCTGGACTCATCTGACCCAGCTGAAGTCACAAAACCATCAGAAACCCCATTCCTCACTGACTCTGCCAGCTCATTCTTCCCACCACGGTTTAGTCTAGCATCAAAGTCAATGCTTGTGGGGACAGGAGGGATCAGCACCGAAGGGTACTGAGTTGCTCTACTGCAGGTTAAGTCAACCTCACTGCTTTAAGAATCCATCCCTTAGGGAAGTCAGTGAGGAGCACCCAGTTACTCATCAGTGAAGAGGTGTGAGGTTGAGGTCGGGACTTCAAGCAGGGTCATAGGCAGTATAATGCTCCTGCTGAGCATCAGAGGAAGGTGTGACAGATAGGTGTGACAGATGTGCTTCTCCCAACAGTTTTATGCCAGCTCCACCTGCCTCAGCTTTCCCACCAATCCCTTCTGAAGGGAAATGATTAAGGGTTAAACTCGAGCCTAACTCCCATGGGAAGGACTGGAGTGCTTTATACTTCACTGATGCCTGGATCAGATAAGACCAGTTGTGGTCAGTTGCTGTGATGCCTGGAGCTGGGCATGGCATCCAAAGAACCTGTGGCTTTCCTTACCCTGCAGTGAGGAGATCCTGAAGCTGTGGGATGCAGCTGACCACAGACCGCTCACCAGCCTGCGGCAGAAGGCATGAATTATGGAGTTGACATCCACCGTAGATACACTTGTTCCTCACTCCAGCCAGCTGAGCACAACCAGGCAAGTCAATAATCTTCGTGTCCAAGGGTACTGGAGCTAGAGATAAGATTTGACAACTTTAAACACTGAAGTTTAATCAAGCGCTCTATTTCCTTGGCTAGGACTACCCACTGACACATTCCATGTCCTGCCATGGCTCTTCTTCAGGAGCTCCAGCTACAGAAAACATACAGAGTCTTATGCAGGGCACAAGGGGTCCACTTTTATGGGAACTGTCAGTCATAAAAAGGACTGCTCAAGCAGTTGCATCTTAGGAAAGTTCCCCTATCCCATGTAGAACTGGCTTTGGAATTTCCTTGTTTTCCTGGATTTTCCTCTTCGGTCAAGTTTTATTATTCTGTTCTTTCCTGTTATGTGTGAGAATTTATAAAATATCCTCCTTCAGCCTACTTCAGCTCATCTTTATCACTGTATTCAATAACCTCAGAATAATAACAGTTCTCTCTTTTCCCTTCTGCCCCTAATTAAGACGCTTTTAAGCATCTCCCCTCTCTTCTTCCCTTGGGTGATACCTAATTAGCTCTTGTAATTAAAACTGTGCCAGAAGGGCTGAGCTTTGCAGGGATGTTGGCTTTGTTCCAGGCAACACCATGGGGTTACTGTCAGGCTCTGGTTCTCCTCAGCTCTTGGGGGACACCTGAGGGGCCTTACAGAAGATCGCAGCAAGGATGTCATCTGAGGTTTTGGGATCAGGGCCTCGGGGGACTTTTCTGGAACATCTTGTATTTCTAAACTGGTTTTCCAGGTGTTGACTCCCCATATTTCCTTCTGTACCATTCAGCAGAGAGTCCAAAGTTTCCCCGAGTGAATGTGGACAGCCTGCCCTGGGAGATTTTCCATCATTCAGCCCCAGATCAAGTTTCCTCTGCTCATTGATCTTAGGATCAGAAAAAAACAAACCACCAACCCATCCAAAAATTGATTAGTTTAAATTTTCTCCCTGTTTAGATGTCTTCCTTCAAGCCCACATGCTATAGCAGGGCTGGGGAGCATTTCCTGTGGTCCTACCTACAGCAAATGTGATGCTCCCCTTGTGCTGTCTCCTATCCAACCACCTGGGTCTCAAGCTGCCCAAACAGGGACGCTTTGTCCTCTGAGACCAAGAGCTCACTAAGGTTCTTCTGTGACTTAAGGCAAGCTTGCTCAGGACCATTCACAAGACTACACAGCCTTCCCCCTCTCACCCAGCTGTGCTGTCTCAGTCACTTTCACAGTCCTTTTGGGCACCTGGATTTCTTTCACTTCATCCATCACCACCCAGCCATCAAATAAGGAAGAAAAATGTAATTGGCTTTTGTCATTATTTATTACAAATTATATTTTGCAAATTACTGTCTGAAAAAAAAGAAATCAATAGATTTAAATAAATACACAGATTTCAGGATGCTACATACGGCATGTGTGCAATCAGTCACCTAAAGATGAGATGTTACACACACAAGGAGATATACATAGTACTTTACAGCAGTAGTTTCATTTTAAATTACTAGGCTCACATTAAACCATGTGCAAAGTTTCCTTTGGAACAAACCCTTTAAGGATTATTCTTTTTGTAGAATGACTCAAACCTGCAGAAAGTCAAATATAGAAAAGATGCTCTGCAGCTTTGGGGACCAAATGATGTCTGCTCTGTCGTTTACAATACAATCAGTTGGTCTCATTTTTACCTCCTCTAGGGCTTAAAGCAAAAATCAAAGGTGTATTTTGTATGTCCAATGGGACTATACTTGCAACAGCCACGTATTTCGGTCCAGCCACCAACTTTAAGCAGCCTTTTAAAAGGCTTGTGTAATACTGGATTGGGCAGCAAGGGGGACCCAACAGTAGTTCCAGGAGAGCAATTATTTCCCTGCACTAGCTGGATCTGCAGCCACAATTTATAATACAAGTTAATCTGCCCAGGCAAACAAAAGTGCATTCACGGTACAGCTCCAGAGCCTTAGATGGGTTTGCCTATAAGATCAGCTCCTAGGTCCTGGGCTTAGTGCTTATTCCAAATTATTACTTCCCTTTGGGCCTGCAGCTCACTGCTGCTCCATGGCCTGGGAAGCAGCTGTAACTCTGGCATGGGCTTAAATCCCAGCCTTTCTTCTAAAGCTGTGCAGACAGTGCTGTGCTCTCTTCCCAGTCCTTTCCTCCACATCAATCCCACCTGGCTGCCTCTTGCCTAATGCATTCTGTTCAGGTTACACTTCTCATAGTGACATGCTACCCATACACTGGTCATTAATTACATAGTCTGACTCCAAGACCTGATCTAAGCAAAGAAGCAAGCAAGCCTTTGTGTGCTATTCCCCCCCCCCCCCCCCCCCCATCTTCTCTGCCCCTAGCCTTTCCTTCCAGGCAGAGCTGAGAGAAAGCTGGGATGTTGGGTTAAAAGGTGGACTTTACCCTGCTAAGGGTATGTCCAAGGCGATGAGACAGGGAACTCATCCAGACCTGCTCAGACCCAGTGGGGCTCCCTCCCCCAGATTACATGCATGGGGATCCTGCAGAAATGCAGCTCTGCTTCAGCCTCCCCCCTGCTGCTGCTGTGCTGGGTGGCAGGGGTCATGCTTGGATTTGATGCAAGCTCCAGTGTAAGCAAACTATCCTCCACCTAAAGAGGAGCCACTTAAGGACGGACCTTCAGTGAATTCCTCAGCCAAGGAACGCCACTGACTGCTCAGTTGGCTTTCAGGCTTCTAGATGGTACACTTGTTTTAATTAAAACTGGGAGCTGATTTACCATGGGAGTCTCATTCACATGCACATCGCACTGCCTGGCAAGTAAGAGAAGAAAGTGCAAAGGTGGGCTCGCACTGGAGGTAGCTTATCCCCATCTACAATGACCAGCCAAACCACCTCTGACTGGGGCCAAGCTGGGACCATGCCTGGACATGGCTCAAAGGCAGAGCAGAGCAGGACAGAGATATGGGCTCAGTGCTGCCAGGTCCAGAAGTGCACGGAACCGCCTGGTTTCTATGTGATTCAACTGCCCAGCACGGGCTGACCCTCTGCCTAAGGCTCCGGTGCAGAGTTAAGCTAGTAGTCCTCCAGCAGGACCCTTGCCTGATCCAAAAAGGCACAATTCAGCTCCACGACACATCTATGACTGTATAGAGAGAGTTTTCCCTTTACAACAGTCTCTGGAGTGCATTCAGTACTGGTTCACGCAACAGGAGCATGGAGACTTCCACTTCTTCCCCCTTCCACTCATGGCCTTTCCTTCAGCTCTAACTACCGACAGCGGAGTTAGCGGCACCCACAGGACTCCCATATTCTTCTGGTGAACTTGGCATGCACCTGTTTCTTATCTCTTCTTCTTCCAGATGTTTTTCTTCCAAGGCAAAACTGTTGGCTGTGCGCTCCTCCGGGAACGCTGCTGATGCTTGCTGAACTGCAGGCTGGAGATGGCAAGATCCCTGGAAACAGAAAGAGGCACAATGGTCATTCTCCAGTCCCTTTCTCTACTACACAGCAACATCCTGCAGTATGACATTCATACACCCCTTGCCAAGACAAATTCTGAGGCAGAAGATGGGGAAGAAGGAGGGATGATTTCTAGCTGCAGCTGTATTAAACCACAGCTGAGATTCATCAACCCCAGTATTCCCTTTCCAATGGTGACAGAGGATCCAAGGAGCCCTGCAGCAGGGTGTGACCCCAGTGATGCTTCCTCAGTTCTGCCTTTCAGAAAGTGTTCCCATTGCATCTGATTTAACTGCCACCAACAGAACAACGTGTCCTTCGTGCCAACTCTCATGTACCTTCCACAACTCACTGATGTGAGGAAAGCTTCTGGTCTAAAGTTGCTGCCCAACCAATTCCTGATTGCTGCCCCTCCCCTTCTTGTATGTCACCCATTCCATTTCAGAGGAGCTTCCAACTCCAATCAAGAATCACATTTTATGTGATATTTCTCTAGTTTTGGAAGGACACAACCAACCCTGGATCCCTCAGCTGTTATTCTAGAGAGCAAAACCAGTCTATTCATTTAAAGGGAGACAAGAAGGTGAAGTCAGGTCAAATCCAAGCGGTACCCACAGTCTGGGGTCTCAAAAGCAGATCTTAAGGTGCTCATGAGGGCTGTTCAAAGTGGGGTTAAGTGGCATGCTTACCTGAGAGCTCTTAGCAGGCCATGATGGGAAGGCCTCACACCACTGCTCTGCAGAGACTTCATTGATGCTCCAGAGCTCACTGGGAGCTTCAGACTCTGAAGGTACCTAATGAACAAGAGGAGACGCATGAGCCACTCACATCCAGCCATGCTAGGGGATCCATGTGCCAGGGGGAGTGTGACAGACTAAGACAGCTGAATGAATGTTTTTGAAGGGTTAATTGCAGCTTTTTAAGAGCTATTCATAGCTCACTGTTACTGCCATCCTGTCAGACCTCACTCTATTCAGAGTCATATGTAATGATTGGGGAGTTTAGCTATTGCCTTGCTATGAAATCAGTGACAGGTCTCTACAATGACTTTGCTCCCCACCTCCCTACAGTGTAAGCACTCCTCAATGCCGCTGGCTGAAACAAGACAACAAAGTCCATGTGAGCTAAGAAGAGAGCTGGCTATGGATGATAGTTGACTTCCAATTCCCAGCTCACATCAGCCCTCCTCTCCTGCAGCTTCTCCCACCTAAGCCATGCAGGAGCTCCCCCCTTCACACCCCACACTTCCTCAGCCTCCTGACAGCGGATGGAGGCAGCATTGCTTCACATCACCTAGTAAAGAGACTGTTGTACAACAGGAACACCCTAGCGACACTTTGCCAGGGCCTCTTGGGAGGGGTATGAAAGCCACTAGACAAGTTCCAGCTGTTTGCTAAGAGCTGCACAGCCATCCCCTGGGAGGCCTTAGAGCTCCTCCAGCTCCTAAGCTCTGTCTGCTTGCACCCCCCCCCCCCCCACCCAAAGCAGCCCCCAGAGATACCCCCAGGACCCCCCTGGCTTACCCAGGCTTCGTCTGGCAGAAGGCAGCGCAGATGCTGTCCCTCGAGTGCGAGCACTCGCACCTGCCGAGCGCTCTCTTGCGCCGCTTCGGAGGGCTCCCCAAGCCATAGGGAGCGGTGTGCCTGTTAAAAACAGAAGGCATCAGCTATGCAGCTAACCTCTTTATTAGCCACAGGTTTATAGCACAGCCCTGGGAGGCAGCCAAGCTAGTGCCAGGATAATAAAAGACTCATCTATAGACATAAGGTGAAAAGGCCACTGATAGATCTAAGCCTTTAAACTCCAGCTCCTCTCCCACCTACTGTTTTCTCCACCCTACCCCTCCCAGGGAGATTACCAGTATGTGCTGGGTTGCAAGTGGAATTCTCTCCCCTTGCTGTGGCCCACCGCCCATTGCAAGGGTCACCACAAGTGCTGGGTGAGCTGGCAGTGTGGCAAAGCGCTGCCCCAGTCCACCAGCAGCAAGCAGCCAGTTCCTTCAGCACTGAAACTATCAGTGCTTTCCCTCCCTGCCTCCATGGGTTTTAACACCCAGGACATGGTACAAATGAAGATGTCTTGGGGCTGTAACAGGTTCTTCTGATCACAGCATGCTTTCAGAGCTGTTAGCACATTCCCCAGCTCCATCTCTGATAGTGATCTACTCTCCCAGAGGGTTTAGGATTGGCAGTGTCTGCAACAATTCTCCGAGCAAGCAGCGAGTTGTAATTGCACGTTAGTAAGCATGATTATAACCACACCTGAGTACATGTGTTTTGCTACAGTGTGATGGCCATTGGTCTGAAACAGCTCGGAAAGCTGCTTTAGCATTCCTGAGGGCAGTACTTGGCAGCCACAGGATGCTAGTGCCAGCCCACCACCGTCTCATTAACAATGCTGGCAGTCAGCAGCCAGGGTTACAGCGCGCAAGTGGGTAGAAAAACTTTCTGACTTGCAGCTCTAACACCTCAGAGCTGTTTTCAGCTTGCAGAGGTACACAAAAAGTCAGATAAAGATGAGCCCCGGAGGAAGCAGCACCCTGGGCTTTGGCTCCACTGCCCTGTGAGTTGTACTGAAACTCCTGAGCAGAAACACAGCTTGTCCCTATCTGGATTTTAGGAAGGACTGGACTTTCAGTGCTCTCCAAAGCAGGTGCTACAAGAGCCTCCCAGAACCAGGACCCTTTCCCACATTGCTCTAACCTAACCCCATCCTCCAACAGAAAGCACAGTCACTTATCAGGAGTCTTGTCCCCCAACCCAAAAACAAGCTATGTCCGTGCTCACCCAGGTGTGTTGACCCAGATGATATCCAGGTGACAGAAGTAGATGCATTCCTTATCCAGCCAGCTATTGCAGGAACATCGCTTGGTCCTCGGGTGCGAAGCCAGGGGGGACTCCAGCGGAGGGTGGCCCATACCTGCAGCAGAAGGAGGAAAGGATGAGTTGCAGGCTCGGTGCAGAGCGCTGGAGTGCCCGTCCGTCTGTCATCTCTGCAATTACACCTCCCGTAAGGCTTACGGCGATTTCAACGTGCAGGCGGTTTTACAGGAGGTGCAGCCTTCACCCATCAGGCTCCTACAGCACTTACACAACCCCGGCGGCTACCGGGGCTATCCCGGAGCAGAAGTGCCGGGCAATGCCCCTCGCCCCACCGCCAGCCTCGGGGCAGACCCCAGGCACCCTCCGGCACACTCGCAACCCCGCTCCCCGAGCCGAAGGGAGCGGAGGGGTGACCCCAATAGGGCAGGCACCCCCCGGGCACCGAGCCCCACCCGAGCCCGGGGCTCACCGTCTTCCAGGAGGGCGCAGAGGGCGAGCACCAACAGCAGGGCGCCGGCGGGGTGGCTGGGCATGGCGCGGGTCTCAGCGGTGTGGGGCTGCGCTGGAAGGAGCTGGAAGTTTTGGAGACGTTTTCCTCGGGTTTTCTTCTTTCTTTTCCCCACTCCCTAGCCCTGCTCTGCCGCTGTTTCTCCTCACGGTGCTTTACCGGAGCCGCCGCGATGCGTCTGGAGCCGCAGGCGCCGGGCAGGTGCTTTATAGCGCGGCCGCAGCCGCGTCACGGCCCCGCTCCGCCCCGCAGCGTGGAGCGACCGCGGGCGCGCGTGGGGGGTGCAGGCGCCCGGGCTCGGGTAGACCTGTCCTCCCTATGGTAGACCTGTCCTTCCCGTGGGTAACCTGTCCTCCCTGTGGGTAGACCTGTCCCCATCATGGGGAGGTGGCTCAGTTCCCGTGGGCACGAACGCCCCGCAGCCGTCGCGAATCACGCGTGGGTCTCCTATGGGGCAGAGAGAAGCGGCGTGAGGAGGAATACTGCCCTTTGGGGGGTGCGATGGACAGTGGGTACAGCGTGGAGCGGGCGGCACTGTGTGCGCTGTTTGGGGGGTTCGGAGCCCGCCGGAGGCAGGTGAAGGCAGGGGGTAGTTTGTAGGCGCCGCCGGCAGATGGAGCGGGGGGGGAGAGGAAGCTTGTCCCGCTGTGGGAGCCCGCTGGCCGCCGATGGTCCTCACGGGACCCCCCCTCCGTTTCCTTGCTCCAGGCATGGCAAAAAGGGGCGAGTTGAGCCAGGCAGTGTAGTGGGCTAGCCTGCAATTGGGCTGGTTTAACCTGGGTAAACCAGGCAGAATCCAAGTCCAGTTAAGTTTCACGTGAAATTGTTACTCAGCTCAAGAGGTTGCATCTGTTAAATGGAAGTCTCTGCTTCCTCTCTCCCTCTTTTTTCATTAAATCCATTTAAAGTCTTTTGCTAGGTCTAGCAATTAAAATCTCTTGCAGTAAAACTCTCTGGCTGGTCTCTGATTTTGCTTCAGCGTTAATGATGGCATTCTCAACATTATCGGGACATTTTTAGGATACGAATCATATAAAACACCCATGTCATCTCCCAGCAGGCACAAGGATGTAGTCAAAAGCATCTTCATCTTGCCCATCATGTGTGTATCATGCAGAAGCAGGAAACTGTCCCATGGAGAAGCTCAGAAAGGCAGCTCTTGACTTCACCAATCCTGGGAGCAGAGTACACCTCCAAGTGCCAGCAGGTTAGAAGAGCAAGCATAGAAAAGCCAACAATAAACTACTGCACTTGATTTTCTTATGATGGATTTAAAGGCTTCTTAGGAAAAATGAGTGTATTTTTATTTGTTTACCATAAGCAGTTTAGGGTTTTATTGCACTGTTGTCATGAACAGAGGCAAAATGATGGCAATTACAGTCAGTCAGTGTGAGGCTTCATGCAAAGTGTAACACGTGCATGAGGAATGGAAAGAGAAATAAGAGCCAGAGTGTGGAAAACTGTTTTCATCTGAGCAATGGCTTCTGCTCACAGCGTCTCATGGAAGTAAACTGGGTTGCGGATGCACTCCTGCAAGAAATGATGAGAGAGTTTAACATGCACTCAGACCTAGCAGCGGTGAGTCCCTCTCTGTATTCATGTGAAACGCATGCAGAAGATACGTGCAGGGGAAACCTCACAGTGGGATAAGAAAATATGCTGAGGGGAAATTGTTGCTCTGTTAGCAGACAGCTCAGATGGTGATGGCGCATGAGAACACAGATACTGTCAAGGGCTCCATTGACTGAGTAAGGATGAAGTGTGGGGGCACAAGAGGTCAGGGCAGATGAAAAATGTACATATGGGAATGGAGCTAAAATAGCAAGGAGAGGAGATGCTGGGAAGAGAAAGTCAGGAATAGTGACAACTTTATTTTAAAATAATAAAGTACAGCTATAACTGATAAAACGAAGCTTCAGTGTGATAGGCAAGCCAGCAGAGGGAAGTTTTTAACCTCTGTACCAGTGCAACAGACACTCTAAAGAAAATAGGGAAATACAATAGCAGCATTACCTGTTTCAGCCCATATTCCAGCTGTGCCAAGTTTCAGAGTTATGTCAGAGCTCACATACTATGTGACATTCCAGATGCCAGTTCAATGATATAATAAATCTCTCTTGGCTCCAGTTTCTGTGATCCTCGTTCTGGTCAGTGCAGGGTGAAAGAAGATACCCTCGACGTGGGGAAGGTAACGCAGCCATAGTTACCCACCCAGAGGAAATAAATAATGGGGAACAAATGACATAATTTTGCTTAAAGAAGGGGTGTTTTCATAGCAAAGGTGCTACCAGTGCATGAAGTATGAGACAGAAGTCACATTAATATGGCTTTCCAGGATTCATTTGCTGAAAGGATCAGCAGAGAACTTTGTCACACAGAGACTTCTGTCACACACAGACTTCATGCCTCCAGGAAGGAAGAAGAGTCTCAAGTTAACCTGAGGTTTTGGAGATTTGGGTTCAAGCTATTTCCTTTACCCCACTCCTTTTGTGGCCATAGCTTTGCTCTTAGCTTACATTTCCAAGAGGTGCCTGAAGCTACACGTACCTGTCTGTGAAGATCTCTTACTGAGTGCCTAGAAGAAGACAATGCCCAGGTATTTGCCTTTAATGACAGGTGCAAAACCACCTTTACAATCTAGACCTTTCATCTGAGATCTCTCCCTTCTTAATTTCCCATAAATCCCAAGAGATTTACACCATTGTAGAAAGTGGAACGAATGTTGCACCCTCTCATTCGTGTCTTCCTACTGAATGGAGTTGGAACTAATTTTGTTCTCCAGGAAATACCCAACTGTGTTAAGCAGGCACAAACCTGACCAGCACATGTATGGATGTTTGGCACCAACCTTTCAAAGATCTTAAAGGATGTGAAGCTATGGATGAAAGTCTCTGTTTGTTGCAGGGATGTAGGAACCCCGCAGAGATAAGGTGAGGTTGGGATCGCATTGACCAGGACTGCTTTGAAATGATCCTGCTCTGAGAGCTTTGTCCAGAGCTATAGAATTTCTGTGTGAAAAATACAATGACTTCTTCAAAAGTAATCTGCCTTTAGGCTTGTAAAGAAGAATGCCCGGAGAGAGGCCCCAGCATCACCCGCCCCCACAGAGTGTTGTTCTGGTATCTAACTGGTGCTTCCAAGAGTAGCTACTCATTTCAGGCTGAATGATCAATCTCCCCTTGTGCTATGGGCTGGGGGGGGGGGGTTCAGCTCAGGCTGGGAGTGATGTCTCTCCTTGACCTAGACATAGGCTGCACTGCTCCTACGGTGCCTCTGCTCCCCTGATACAGAGTAGTGGCCACTGCTTCCCAGGGCCAGCCCTCCTGGCGTTGTCACCACACTAAAATCACAAATTAAAACAACAGCCTGGAGCGGAGGGACGGGTCCATGCTACACAAACACAGCTTCCAAAGAAGGAACAAAGGGAAACACAGGGTCCTAAATGCCAAAGATGGGCTTTGCCTCCTGCAGTTATTTTTTCCCTTTTGTTTCTGACTGTAGGAATACATTGTTCACTTCATTGTGAAGAGTTCCAGGCAGACATGACGAAAGGGACAAAACAGCTCAAGAAAAAGAGACGTCCCGTGCAGCATTCATGAAATGTGTTGTTTGGAAACAAGGAACGAGCAAACAGGAAAGTGCTTTAACCATTGAGAAGACGGGATCCCAGTGTGTTCTTGGCACCGGCAGGAACAATGGGGTGATGTCACGAGCCAGAATTCTCCATGGTGGGTGGAAGCCCAGCAAATAATCATCATTCTTGCTCTGGGACATCACCAAAATTTCTCCACAGTTGGTCATCCCCCACTGAGCCCCTGTTAGGAAGTACAGGAAAGAGACATTGGCAAATGAAGCTTCCTTTGGGAGATCCGTCTCTCCGCTCCCTACCCCCAGATGGACGCATCAGTTGCTATAAATCACTGCTTTCTGCTGACTCCAGGGAATTTCAGTGGTGGCGCTGGGAGCTGAGCACAGGCTGCCTGAAGAATGGATTTCACACAGTGAAGAAGGGTGCACCCAAGGGCCTGGGTACTTCTAAGGGCAAAGGGGCAAAGTCTTGATAGCTATCTAGGGCTTTGAGCCGACACAGTACGGAGCATTGCCCTTGCCATTCCAAAGGTGCTGTGGATGGCGAGGAGCTTAGGAGAAACAACCTTGCACAAACAGTGGTGTTTGGAGAATTTCAACCAAGTTTAAGGCTGTTAAATGGCATAAACAATATGAGGGCATCCTCCAGGTCACACTCTCTTTTATTCTGGCAGTCAGTTCTTTGGAGAGTGACCTGAAGCTCATTTGCAGCATGCAGGCATTTTCTGAAGCAGTTCCTGAATTCGCCTTTAGCTCCTTCGTTTTCTCAGGGACCATTCCCATGAGAGGACTGGGATAGCCAGGCAATCCTCACAGCTTGGAACAGCTTTCAATCATTATTGGGCTATTACTGAAAACCAGACTGCTCACAGCTCTCCAAGATGTGCTCTGTAAGACTTCAGTTTCTCTGCAATCAAACCATCTCTGGGCTGTCATTTGTTTTGTTATATGAAGGTTGGTGCTAGCGTATGGGCAGGTGGTACTGCTTGGCCAAGTTGGCCATGGGATTAGTCTTTCAACAGCAAAAAGAACTTCAGTGAGTCTAAGCCATGACATAGGAGACCTGAAGAAAAGAAGCATTAAGACATGAGTGCTTGCATGGTTTCCTGATATCAGATTCGTCCCCATTCTCTGTTGGTCTGTGGTTTGCATTATCAGTGCCTGAATATACACTGGAGGGTTGTTTATCCTGGTCCCCCATTTTCCAGATCTGTGTTTGTTTGCTTTCCCCATCCTAGGAGTTTTCAGAGAAAACCAGTGTCCCCACAGAGAGAAGCAGCCTGCCCCCAGGCACTGAGACTGCCATTGGAATCTGCTAGAGCTGTACTGCTGCCTCCATCTCCCCATCACAGACAGGAGGCAGAAATCTCCCCAGGAAAGTGGTGAGAGAAGGTCAGACAGGAGGGGGAAGACTGTGCCCTACAACCTGGGACTTGCTGTCTCCATCCTTTGCAGTGAGGTGGGAAGGAAGCAGGTGGCAGTAGCTTTTGCATGGACCACCTCTCGCATCCAGGAGAGCCAACCTGGTTACAGCATCACCCAGAAAGTGTCTGTCCCCGTGGCTGTGCTGACCCCTTGGAAGATGCTGACCTTTGCCTACCTTGCATG